ACTTATCTTTCTCAACATCCTATGTATTATTTTTTTACTCCGGTTGTCATAAATGCTACAGTGCAACGCGACATGACACGATACGAGGCGCATGCTGTCATCTTTCAACAATGCACACACTCGTCTCTGTCGCTAAGACTAAAAGCATTTCATTGTACTGTAGTATAGTTTTATACTAGCTAGAGAGAGAGAGAGAGATTTTTGCTAAAGAAAAAAATTTTTAGATTTTAATATTACGATTAGATATTTTTCTTTCTTAGATCTGCATGTATTTTTAGACTATATCCAATATATACATGCAAAATTGACATAATTTTATTTAATATAGACTTTCTTTTTAATCCTCCCAGATTAATGTCAGATTATTTAAATTAGCTTTTAATAGTAATTTAATTTCACAGATTTTTATGTATTTTCTTTATATTCTTTTTACTTTTACATTTAAGTATTTTTATTTTTATTAGTTCTAGTGGCACGTGAGTTTCTTACACAAGCTCTTTGTTTTACAGTCCGTTTTTTAAATTATGTAATTATTATTTTTTTGTTAATTTTTGCAATAACAATTTTTGCGATAACAATTAATTGTAATTAATTGAGATAATTACTGATAAACAATCGATAGTGGAATAAATAATTTCTCACATGATGATGCTTATGCGCAAATTTCTCCAGGTTAACAACATGTTTAGCTAGAACGCATTCGGGGATGAGATCATCGATCCTGTTGCTAGGTTCAAGGCCGATTATGACCGCTGGTTCTTACTTTCGCTGCTCGTAGTTGCCGACGGAAAACGGCAAAACATAGACTATTCCTCTTTACTCTTCCTTGCCTTTTTTCCTCGTGCATCTTTCCACTCATGGCCAACTACATTCCTACGGGCTCAAACTCGTAGCGCATCCATAGATCTTTAGACGCTTCTAATCTTGATTAGATATTTGTTGATTCGTGAATTGCTCGTTATTCTTAAATCGAGATTCCGTATCATACAGATATTTGCACTTGTAATTTATCTCTTTTGCAATTTTGCCTTCTGGATTCTTAGATTTTTGCATTATTGGATTTTTTTTTTTAATATTTTTATTAGATTCGTGGATTCTCCGAAAGATTTTTACATTTTTATTGCTATATATTGTTAAAGAATATTTCCTGGAATGTTTAAATCTTTAAATTTACGCATGTTTCTCTTATATGTGTGTGTTGAATCATCAGAGTTTCTACATTAGTTTTTCATTAGTTTCTGCAGGCATATCAGCTTAGAATTAGAAACTTTTAAACTCTATAAGTTAATTATTTTTATTTTTATGTGTAAAGTCACATATATTATATATTCGGTGTATGTATAACATATAGTATATCTAGGGTGTATTCTAAATTTTTCAAAATAAGAGATATATAAAATTTACTGATAAAAAGAATTGTATATAGGCCGATCAAATATTTGTATATAAATGTATAGAATGATAGAATTATATATATAAATAAAAAAATACATCAACATATGTGTGTTTGTATTCAGAATTCAATAAATTCTCTCGTTTGGGTGAAATTGCTTCGACATATTAGTATATACGAATAAAAAATAATAATTATATATAATAAAGTGTATATGTATAAAATTGTGTATTTTATACAAGTAAATATAATATGTATTTAATAGAGATAAATATTAATTACATAGATAATTATATAGATTAAATATTAATTATACAACGTCGGGGTCAGCGTCAAAGTCAGAGTCAGAGTCGGAGTTCGGCGTCGGCGTCGGCGTCGGCGTCAGCATCAGCATCAGCGTCAGCCGTGATGGTTACGTCGTTGCTCGCTGACTTTCGCACGCAGGGTGCATGCGCGTTGCAACTAGAGCACAGTCGCCTTCGTTTTGCTAGCGGCCCCGACGACTTTACGTATACATATATATATATATATATACGTGCATGTGTGTATATTTTTCTCTTATTAGATTCATTGTGTTCTTCTTGCGTCGCTTATAATTAGATTGTTGAGTTTTTGTTGATTAATTGTTGATTTTTTTGGTATCATCCATATAAAAATCATAGAGTTGTTTCATTGTAAAAATTTTCATAACGCGAAAGCTAATAATATATGCATACGCTCGTAAAAATCAAGCACAAATTTTGCATTTAGGTCAAATCGGTATATACAACATACATACATACGAACTATGGTACCACGTTGCACCATCGAGGGCTCTAATTTTGAAAAATATAACAAAATATATATTTACATTAAAATATAAGAATTACAAATAAAAGTTTTAAAGTCTAAGTCTAAATCAACAATTAATCAATAAAAGTATGATTTTATATAATCATATATATAAAATATATTTTTATCTGTGTGAATAGAGAAAAAATGATAATCCCAAAGAAAGAGAGAGAGAAAGAGGGGGCAATATAAATGTTTAAAAGAAAAGATAAAAATGTTTAGAAAAATATTTTAAATGCCTTAAACGTTTGATATACTTTTTTTTTTAAATGTCCTTGAAACGGCCGTTAAACTTTTCTGTTGATTAGATAACTTTATAAGGTCTTTGTAACATATAACATGAGATTTAAAAAATATATAGTTAATGTATGTTACTTGTATTGCTACATTTCTAAATATCTATTTCGCATTTTCTAAACATTTGTTTCTATCTCTTTTTCAATTATATGTATAAGAAATTATATGTATTTCTACTTTCTTTTCCACATATATGCAATACAAGAAACTATTTTTAAAAATAGGTGCAAATTTATAACTCTTAAATACTTCGAAATTTTAATATTACATCCTTATTAAAAATTTGTAAGGCATGACACTTTGCTGCGATTCTGTATCGTAACTTCATTGTGAGTATTCATTTCGTGAGATTTAATTTAAATAAATCTTGCGATCTAATTTAAATAAGATTGAAAATAACTTTATCCATGCTGCATATGTAAAAGGTCGTGCTGTCAAAAGTGCTCTTTTACTTTAAAATCTTTTGAGCGAGAGGAATCTAAATCTCATTTGTTCATATCCTTGCAAATCGGATCAAGATATTGTGCCAATCTCATGTTGTGAAGTTTTGACATTAATAATCGATGATGATAATAATGATAATGATAATGATGATAATGACAATATTGATGATGTTGTTGATTGCGGTGATAGTAGTGATAATAGTAGTAGTGGTGGTGATAGTAGTGTTAGTAATGATGGCAAATAGTAGTGATGGCGTCTGTGTCGCCGTTGCAGAATCGATCCGATGCCCTAGTTACCAGGAGAGAGTGAGACGAGAGAAAAAGACCATCTATAGATGTGTGGATGTATGTATAAGATGGCCCAGAAATATCACGCTTGCGCGTGATCGCAGTTCTGCTCGAGGAATATACAAATAAGCGCGCGGAAATTGTATTATAATCCAGGGCAATTTTTACAATACTCTTAGACATCGAAAGATGATTTTGTTTCTGAAAATTTAAAAATATATTTTATAAAATAATGTTTTTAAAATTTTTTTAGCACTGAAGGGAATTCAGTCTAGAACTGAAACGTCTACGCTTTATATTTTATAATTTTAATTCTAATTGTGACTTCTATAATTTAGATTTTGTTGATTTATATGTATGTAGTGCTTTAGTTCTTTAATTTATTAAATGTGTCGCGTGATTTTTGTTTTTTAAATTTGGTTATATGCGCTGATATCCGTTAATTGTTCCTTTTGCTTTTTCTATATATAATTTTTGTATTTTATAAAAGTTTTGGACCTCATTACAAAAATCTCGAATTTCAATAATTTTTGAATTATTGTATATTTTTGAAAATTGAAGTACTTTTCAATATTAAATACATCTGAATGTAAATAATTTTTAGATCAATTTTATTTATGAAAAACAATTTTGGGTTGAATTTAGTTTAAAGGCGACGTGTATTATCTATTCTTATTCTTAAATTATTCACAATACTATTGTTTATATGTATATGTGTTCTCTGTGATACAAATTAATTTATTGGTATCTAAAATCTAGGAACTATTAATGAACATCTCAAACAGTTTTAAATTATCATTATGTTAAATATTAGTGTAAAATGGAAGGAACGGATTGCCATGTCGAGCCAATAGGGTGGGTCAGGGTTAACATCGAAGGTTGGGTTCCTCCTCCACATTGAATCCTGTCGCGAGGAAAGATGAGAGAGGAGGAATGGAAAACGGGTAATTCGATCGATAATACGTGAAATCCTTATATGGTTTTCAGGTATTATTCGACTAAAATACACCATATTAGTTTTTAGAATGGAATACAACTTTTATATTAAATTAAATATATTCGTATCCTTTTTTTGTTTCATATTCGACTTTCCCTTCTTCTTTCACCTTTCTCCTGATCCGTTCCCCGGTAATCCAGCACCCTCGTTGAGCTCCTATTTCCTCTCACCTTCTATTCATCGTCCTTGTCTCATAATCTTTCTTGCTTCTTCTGTCTTTCTTTTTTTCTGTTTGTCTTATTTCTCCTTTTTCTTTCCTTTCTTTTTGTTTCAACTTTCTTCTTCAGTCTTTTCTTCTTTTTTTTTTTGTGCATATTCTTCTTTATCCTCGATTTATCCATAATTTTTTTTTAAGTGTTATCAAAGACTTTTATCAATTGATAAGAAGACAATCTCAAAATTATTTGTAAAGCTTGAGCAATAGCAATATTAAAAGAAAAACAAAATATGCTTTTATCAACATTTTTGTATCTTAATATCAAAGAGCAAATTAAATTTAAGTTATACCTGAGTATTTAAAAAATGTAAAAAAATATGATGCAGAATTACTAAGAATGTTATATATGCATAAAATTTTTTTTTTTTTGTTGTATCCGTAAATAAAAATTATTTATGGAATACGATCTAATCTATTTTTTTCTTGAAAATTTTTTGGACTAGAAGCATCATAATTAAATAATCGTAATTACAGTTGTTGAATACGTGTCGAGCATGACGTCAACTAAGGAATCAATTTCTCTTTGTGTTGCAGATATTTCGAGGCAGTAGCAACGACTTCAACTATGAAGTTACAGCAAATTTTCGCGCATTTTATCGCGTCAAGATGCGATAAAAAAAGGCTGTGATTACTTAACTTTTTCATCAATATAAATCTCAATCTCTTAAATCGATTGATTAATTTAGTATCAAATATGATATGAAATCATTGATTTCTTCCTTTGAAGACTTTCCAACGATCGATATATCGATACGAACTTTTCTTATTCTTTAATTGAAAGAATTAAGGATTGAATTTGCAATACGGTAAACTTTTATTGAAAAATATGTTTCATCGTTGAGAAGCAACTAAGAAGAGGATAAATTATAATTAGGCAAATTCATAAAAACTGTAAACCGTAAAAATAAGAAAAGCCGAATATTGTCTAAAGAAGGCATTTAATATTACGGGACCGTAAATAATATCCCCGTCACGGTGGCCAGTTTAGTAAGTGGCAACGTAGCAGCACGATATAATGAAGGGTCGGAGGTTATTGTTACGGGGGATGTCATCCTGGCAGCCTCATCCAGGTTAAAAGGAACAATTAATCCATCAACCACGACGACGACGACGACAGCAGAAACGACAACAACCTCCAGCATGGATACCAGTGGCGATTCGAGTCTCGACACCGCTAATGGCACCGCTGCTGCAAGTGTTGCCGCAAGCGTTGCCGCAATCGCCTCCGTCGTCGGCGGCACCGCATCCTTGACGGTTAAGGCCGAGAGACCCGATCATCTGGCGGGAACGTCGACGTCGCCCGCTGTGGCTGCTGGACCGATCGGTACCGGAAGTAGCCTCTTCGCCGGTATCGCCAATAGCAATAAGACGAGCAGACCGGATGATTGGCTAGCGACAAGCAGTCCAGAATCACCGCAGAGTTCTCTGCAGAGTCAGCACGTGGTCTATACCGTCTCTCAACAGCAATTGTCGGAGCAACCTCCTGTAGCGCACTCCAGTCCTCATCAACAAGTTAGCAATAATGGATATGCGAGTCCCATGAGCACAGGCAGTTACGATCCGTATAGTCCCAACGGTAAAATAGGTGAGTACTCTCTGTTTTGACTTTTTTTTAAATGTTGCAAATTTTAAAAATTGCTTTCGCAAGAACACCCGGTACGCGTAAGCGTTCACTATCTATGGCTGGGGAAATGGTAGGGGGAGAGTCAAAGTGGTTCTAACATAAATCATATTCAGGAAATCTGCATTACTGTAATTATATTGTAAACAAACAATTATTATTTACATTTGAGTCCGTTAATGTATCTACGAGATTCTATTCTAAAAATTAATTCGATGACAGAAAGTTTTTCGCCATCTCTTATATGAGATCAGCTGGCCGAGAGAATAAGAATAATGTCCAATGATGAGAACCTTGTAATGGAATATAAATGTTTAAACCAGCTGAGATGATTTATTAAAATTTAGTACTTTTGGTTTAATTTTTGACAAGGTCTACACAAAGGTTTCAGTGCGCATGCGCTTAAAAAAAAAACACTGTTACTCCCTGAGACTCTTTCTCTCGATTTTCTTTTTCTCTAGACGAAAAGTATGTGGATAAACGCATTCCAGTATTTATATATATATATATATAGCACCTATATATCTATAATAATAACACGATATACGCCATCTGTTGTCATATTCTAAGAACAATTTTTGTCATGATAAACAGATGGCGCTACTATGTCGCTATTGAGCTATTTTTGTATCATAATCTGTAAAATTCCTGAGATTTGATGTCAAGTGGTATTCATACCTTTTATATATGATACCTTCTTATTATTGCACTCTTATTGATTATCTGTGTATCAACTGGCCAAATGAGTATCCCTCACACCTTTCCGTTTTTTCTTTCAATAAAAAATATATCTATCATATATTATATATATACGTATTATATCGTAAATATATATTATATACCGTATATAAGAAGAGATATAAAAAAACGTTTTACGTATTAAAAAATGTATTATGTATTAAAAAAAAAAAACATAATAGAATTAAATATTCTACGCACACATTAAAGTAGCACATGTGAAATAATGAGAGACCAACGCAAGGGAAGAAATGAGAAAAAGTAAAGAAATATTTTTCCTAAATAGAAAATACGAAAGATATTTTTGACTATACGCTTGACATCACATACCCTTGAAAATGTATATAAATGCAATCTTAGCAAATCTTGAGACTATCTATTATGTTTTCCGTTTTTCTGTCAAGATCGGGAATCTCGTCAATGAATAAATTTGGCATGTGTGCGTTAGCATTCTCGATCTCCCAATTGTCTCTCTCGTCTCTATCGGGAAGAGTGGATATCCTTGAGAAGGAGCATTGTCCTCGATAGTTACCTCTTGTTCGGCCACTTAGCTCGGCCCGACAAGCTTCTCGTCGCCTTGTGACATTGCCCGTTGCAATTTCTTTCCAATGTCGAAATCGATATCAAGCAATGTTTCTCGCGTATCTCGATTATAACAAAAATTATCAATTATACAAGTATTAAAATCTTGGTTATATAAATACGAAAATTTATAAACTTCTTTTTATGTGTTTTTCAACATATTTTTGCAAATATATTATCCAACATATTCAGAAACTTTTTAATATTTTATGAACTTTGTTTCAAGATATGATACGTGATAAATAAAAGCTACATTTAGCATAAATTATTTGCTAATCTATCCATCAATAATAAAAATTTATATTATATTGTACGTAAATGGTTCTTGATTCTTCTATATATAATATCGATCATTAGTACAATCTTGGAAATTATAAGAGTACATTTTGTCCAAAGTAATGATTGAGATGTTTTTTATATAAAAAAAAATAGAAATAGAATTTTAAAAAATTTCTACATTGAAACTTTACATCGCAATATTTCTGTACATAGTACACACATAATATATACGCGATAATAAAGACACTTTCTTTATATAATTGAAACCTAGGCTATCGATTAAGCCTATCAAGAATTCAATCGGCTTAGCCATTACTATCAACGAGATTCGATAATCTGAGGTACTCTTATTAATTAAACGGCTCGCGTAGAGACATAGTCCACCTCGCTATTTCTACGCACGTGACTTTTAGCGCGAGACACTACCGTGTCTCTTGAAACTTCTAACTAGGTAACTCTAGAAGCATATAGCTCGAATTAGTGCTTATGCAGCGGCTTGGAAATAAAAATGAGTTGCGCACAGAAAGAGTGAGAGCGAGCAAAAGAAACGATGAAGCCTCGATGCGTGTCGGAGGCCTCGCAGTGTTCAACGAAGCTTCACGAGATTCTATAATCGTGTCCGGTTTACTCGCCATCGGCCGCGATAGACTTCGCGTTCTAATACCATTGCCGTTCATATCGGACAAGGCAATGTTTCACGATGTTTGCTTAAACGAAAAAAATCACAAAAGTGATTCAATTTATTATGCGTATAAAAAAATATAAAGTATATTTATTATAATTTA